CATCAAGTTCCTCTTCCTTTCTTCGGAATCTCATCTGCTCAGGTAGGCCAATCAGTGACATAATTTATGACATCATCTATGACAGTAATGTTTTCAGTGTGTTTCTGTTGGAGTGAGCTGAAAAGTTATCAAGGACAATGACATCCTATAGTGCCTAAAGACAAGCAGACAGACAGACCTGTGACATCACATGCTTTTTCAGGGTCCATTGTGTTGAACAGAGGTTGAATGCAACCTCTCACCATCTCTTTGTTTACAGACCTGCTGCTTCAGCCCAACATCTCTGTGTCCTCCTCCATGGGCAGGGTCTCTGAGGCACAGCAGCAGGAGTTTCAGGTGAACTGGGGCTCGCCCTTCACCATCAGCTGCTCCGTCCAACCACAGTACCCAGAAGGCTACTTCGAGCTCACCTTCACCTCCTCCAACTCAGCACACAACTATACAGAGCAAGCTGTCAATCACTCTGCCCACTTCCTGTTTTCTGCAGAGTCCGCCCACCAAGGAAACTACAGCTGTGTTTATCACGTCTATGTTTTTTCTCATAGCTTCTCCTCTCAGAGTCGTCTGCTCTCTGTCACTGTCTTAGGTAAGTTGACTGTAGTTTTCCATCCTACATACATGTGGGTTTGGAAAACAGGATTCATCCAAACGGACTGAAAATGATCAGCTGACCCCAGTGTCTATGCATGTTGTTGTTTCTGGAAAAACAGTGAGAATACTGTCATTGATTTGGCCAAAATGTAGCATGTAGTATGCAGTGTGCAAACAAAAGCAAAATCTGCATTATGCCAAAAATACACAGATGTTGTGATTTGGAAAAAATCTCCAGTATACATCAGATCATTCTACCTCGCCTACTGTATCCCATAATGCAAAGTGCTTACACCAACCAGCAGCATGGTGGGGGAGAGAGCTCACAACTGTGGGCCCTAAGTTTAAAAAAAAAAAAATTAAATACTACTGTTATTGTGTCTCAAAATGTACTTTTGGCTTCTGAGGCAAGAATTCACTTGTTTACACAACAAATCTGTGGTCAATTTGTCAAGATAGAGCCTACTTGAAAATCCCACTATCGGGATGGCCAGCGTGCCTCGCCAGTGTGCGGTCATTGCTCATGGTACTCCACTGAAAACAGCCTCATCTCAGCAAGTCCTTTTAAAATTTGCTGTTGGCTCTGTTGGTATATCTACTGTAATAGGCAACCTTTGGTCTGAGAGTAGCCGGACCCACCGGATGTATGCTCTGACTATGAGTCTGCCATTGGGCCACTGATTTCAGCCGACATGCTCCCCTCCTTCCACTATCTCCATGTTACTGTTTGTATATGAGCAGCAATAGCAGTAGGAAGAGCAGAAATGGTATCAGTTTAATTTCTAGTGCAGGTTTAGGTACAAGTAATGCCATCAGTATGGTGTTATACTGTATGAATAGAGTGAATAATACTATGGACAAGATATGTACAGGAAAAAAACAGTGGTATAAATATGAATACATTATAGGTGAGATATAGTATGGATCGTAGTATGAAGTGTTTGGGTATGAGAGCACATGCAGTGTGACACTAAAAATACATACATCTTGATAGTTTTAAAATGAAAAGAGGCAGGGTTGTCCTTTATATCATATTTTGTTTAATTGTAATTATACATAACAGAGAAGATAACCAGAGTAAACACATACTGCCAAGACGAGCTGAGATGGTGTCTGGCATACTGCAAAATAAATCGATTCAACAGTTTTGTACTGCATACCACTATGAAAAGCAGCATGTAGGACATACTGCATACTGCATTTGTTGGTACTGTAGTATGTAGTAGGTGGTTCCGAATACAGCCAGTGTCTATGGTGTGTTATTAAGGTGTGGGCCTGCCTTTGTAGGTCAGGTGATTGATTCTGACAGACGTGCTAGAGCTTCTGTGATTGGTCATATAAGAAGGTGCTTCCTTTAGTTTACTAGCGAATCAGACACTAGCTGTTTCCACACCATTCTGGTTTATCCTCCCTCCTAGCAGCACAGAAGGTCTATACAATTAGCACAGTTGGCACCGAAGATTGGTGTCACCAATTCAGTATCTGACCAAAGTAACCTTTTCTGTTCCTGAGTTATAATGTTGAATCATAGCCAGTATTTTTGCAGAACATTATGATATCACAGTGCATTTGACCTTTGACCTTTTGGATATACCACATCATCACTTCATCATTATCCCCTTACAGTGTTCTTGAGATATCATGTCCACAAGAATGAGCCAGACAAGGTCACAGTGACCTTGACCTTTGACCCATGTCCACCAAAATCTAATCAGTTCATTTTTATGTCCAAGTGAACATTTGTGCCAAACTTGAAGAGATTGTCTCAAGGTGTTCTTGAGTTATTGTTTTCACAAGAATGGGACAGAAGGACAACCCAAAAACATAATGCCCCCGGCCACAGCTATCGCCGGTGCAGAGGCATAAAAAGGAGAAACATCAGGAGGATCACCAGAGGAGAGACTCTTCTTCGGAAAAGACAGACAGGCCATACTTTCCTGAGTACACATGTGGACCAGTAATTATGAACAAACACAATGATATTAAGTACATCAAGTGCAAACATTTAATATGGACTGAATATAAAGTGTAATAACAGATAAATCTGTGATTTCAGGTCACTACAGTTTGTGTTTCATGGACTCATGATGTTGTGTGATTTGATGTGATTGCTGTCTGTGTGTCTCAGGATTGAATCCAAAACTTTGTATTATTGGAGCGGTTGTCCCGCCGCTGATTCTGCTGTTGGTGATTGGTGCCCTTTGCTTCTACTGTAAGGTAATTATACACGTCTGTTGTTTAGACCACTGACTGAAATGAGGTACTCAGTCTGTGTTTATTCCAATGAAGAGAGGAGTAAGGCAGGAAGTCACATATGCATGCTGTCATGTTTTACAGGCCCGCAGGGGATAGGCAATGGGCACACAGTAGAAAACTGAGCTGGATTATCATTCTGTGGGTGTTTCTGCAGCTGAAGGAGCTCAGGAAGCAGAGTAGCACCTCCAAGGAGCCCATCCCACATCCAGTAGATTTCTATATGCATGTTTCATTTCAACAAGAATTTTGTAATTTGAGATTTTTTTTCATTTCACGAGAATTTTTAATTAATTTTGTAATCAAGTATGCCTAATTTACTTAATTTTGTAACAAAGGGTTCTGCTTATTTTCATGGTTAAGTATTTTGCTTATTTCATAAAAATTTTGAATCTTAATTTTGTACTGAATGAGTTTTATTTTTTCAAAGGAGTTGTGTTTATTTTTGTAATCATGAACATTGCTTATTTTTGTGATAACTAATTTTGTAAAAAAAAAATGTTCTTAAGCAATTATTTACTTTTGTGCTGAATGATTTTGCTTATTTTTAGAATTAAGGAATTGTCATATTTCATAAGAATTTTATTGATTCTTTTTCATTTATCCCTTTATTACTCCATGAATAGAAAATACTGTCAGCAGCCATAAAATAAAAACAATGTTTAGGAACAACATGTTCTGTAAATGATATGAATGTTGTATGGAAAAACCCTTTGTAAAAACCCTCAGAATAAAAACCCTCTTATCACCTTATTACACAATGAAAATAAATAAATGAATTAATACAAGGAAAACTGACGTTTTATATCCAGACAGGGCCACCTGAATGTGTTGTGTGCATTGTGCAATGGTGTGTCAAAAAAAAACAACTTAGCATAAATCTGCAGAGTCTGGATTTGAGGTTCTGTTTTACACCAAGATGCACTGAGTAGATTTTTGATTTATTGAGTGATAGTATGTTAGCTGACAGGTTTGTAGTATACTGAAATCAGATTTTAGGACCTCTTGAATTTGTGATATAAAGGCTTTTGATGTATATATAATAGTATCATTTGCATATAGTAGTATAGTATAGTTAACTAGAAAAAGAGTTGGAGGTCATTAATAAAAAAAAGAGAAAATGGTCCTAAAGTAGAACCTTGAGGCACACCTCCATGCTGGGTGAGCAAGTCTGATTTAGACCCTTTTTCACATTGATTTCTGTGGTGAACATGCACATTAAACCACAACAATGTATGTTTGGAAAGCTCAACAGCATAAAGCTTTTCCCAAAGAAGATAGTGATCAATCAGACCGAAAGCCTTGGTGTAATCAACACATATTGCTCTTGTGAGATGATGGCAATCAGGGCCACAGAAAACATTGTTAGAGAAGGGAGGAGTAGTTGTGGGAAAAGTTGGATATGATAGGCTATATATAGATTATTTTTATGATTAAGTTATTGTGATAATGCATTTCTAAATTGATTACTGATTTCTGAAGATTAATTTTCCACAATCTTGAGATCAATGTGTAGTTACAAAAATCTTTGGCGGTAAAATCCTCTTTGACTGTCCTTAAGTTTTAAAATACATGCAAACAGCTTCTCAGTTAAAGTCTGTGTGTGTCATTATCCCGATCACAAAATAACAACTTTCCTGCGTCCCAGTGCAGATTCACTCATTCACTCACGTACAGTAACTAGCATGCACTAGGGTCTGCCTTAATAGGGTGCCTTTGCCTTACGCCACTGCCAATGAATATCAGAAAAATGGGAGTTCCACACGAATTTCCCCCCATGAAGTTATTATTCTTATTCATTCATTAGTTAATTTGTGACTTTTAATATTTACAGTAGGTTCCAAGTCCTGTAGCACTTTGATAAGCGTTTGATTGTCTTGAAAGTTGACAGGAAAGATTTAAATCTGATGAATCCTCATAGAAAGCTGAGCTTTAACACTTTGAAAGTCTACATGAAAAAATATATTCCTGTCAATACAATGTTGCAAAAATAGCGATTTGTTTTTTCTGGTTATGTATTTGTTGCATTGTGGGGAGAGAAACTGTGGCTAAAGCATAAATAATTTTTCGGCCGTAAGAAACTGTTGATGAGCGGAAATCAAAAATAGCTCACTTTCACTGCCGGAACTTTAACAGCGTGACACAATCAACGGAAGTAAACAATACAACCGCTAGCTGCGTTAGCTCCATGGACTAACAGGAATCGTAAAAAGACGATGGTGTAGTTGTTACGTAGATAAATACCTCACTTATAATTAGACAACAATGTGTTCAGTTGAGTCTTTGAGAGAGTTTGTCAACGAGCGACTAACTGCTGCTGCTGAAGAAATATTGGGAGTTTTTCAAAGAAGCATCGTCGAGTACGAGGAAGAGATCGATCGTCAGCGCAGACTGTTGGATATCGTTTTGAAGCCTGAAATAAAGTTACACAGGACAGGTGGGTGAAAGCTAATTGGAGTAATTTACTGGCATGTGTGTATGTTTGCTGTAGCATGACATTAGTATGCTGTTGGTGTTGTTGTGTGTCCCTCCAGAGCTCCCACAGCAACATGTGTTTAAGGAGGAGGAGGTTGTCCCTGAGCAGCAGCTCTGTATTGAGGAGAGGAAGTCCAGTGTGGACCAAGAGGAGCCAGAGCCTCCAGAGATTAAAGAGGAAGAGGAGGAAGTGTGCAGCAGTCAGGAGGGAGAGCAGCTTGTAGTGAAGCAGGAGACTGATGGCTTTATGTTGACTCCTGCTGATGAGGAAAGTGAGCAGAGTGAAGATCAGACTCTGGACTTCATTCATGATGACACTCAAAGTGCAGCAGAGAAAGAGTCTGTAGTCAACATACCAGTTATAACCTATTTTATACTCAAACCAAACAGTGACCATCAGCTCTTCTCTCACAACTCTCATGTAGCTGAGAGCCAAGATCAGAAAGGAGGACATCATGAAAACAACAGTAACACAGATGAAAAATCTCACAAATGTGACACGTGTGGAAAAGCTTTTCTGTACAGGTATAACTTAAATATACACCAGAGAATCCACACAGGTGAGAAGCCGTTTATGTGCAAAACATGTGGGAGAGCTTTCAGACAGACTAGTCATTTGACAGCCCACATGAGAATTCACACAGGCGAGAAACCACACATTTGCAGGATTTGTGGGAAAAGATTCAGCGACATAAGCATGTTGAAAAGGCATTTTAAAATCCACACAGGTGAAACTTTGTAACTTTGCAAGACCTGCAGAAAGAGACATTTGAATGTGTGACAATTGTCAAGGCATATAAGATCTCAGACAGACAAGTGGTCTTGTGTTAAATATGTGGGAGCTGATTCAGTTCTGGTTCATGGTCAAAGCACACAAGAACTGACAGAAGTGAGGTGTTGCATGTTTGTAGCACCTGTGGGAAAAGTTTTACTCAGATCACATACTTGAAAAAACATCTGAGGACCAGTAAACAGGAGAAACCATAGAGCTGAAACTCCTGTGGAGACGTGTTCGCTATCTGAATGAAGTAAAATTGCTCACTGAGAGGAGGTCACAATATGTTGAAGAACTACATTTGGTTAAAATGCCATTTTGTTGAACTAACCCTCAGTTTTACTCATAATCCTGTTTTTCTTTGAAATAGTCTATCTTCCAAATTTTTTGAAGAATCTTTGTTGCACAGTGAGTGCATAATTCCTCAGTAACACATAGGCTGTTTACTAAATTTGGTGCTATTAGAGTCAAAATCCAAAAAGGAGTTGCCACATTAGCAAAACAGTCTATCATGGGGGTCATCCCATTCCAGCTGATGGCAATTTAAACCACAACATAAGACAGTAAATAATCACAATAACAAATTGGCAACACTAGATAGGCCTCTGCTGGTTATGTGGTTTGAACAATAATGATCAGTGTCCAAAGGAATGTAGCCAACGACATGCTGTTTTTTGTGACATTGTGTATTCTAACAATAAAACTTTGTAGGATGATGGTTTAAGAATACCAGATTCACCTTGAAGTCTAAAGCTGTTAGTGATTTGTGTTCATCAAGGCCGCAGATGGGTGTGACTGTCATCAAAAATAAAAGAAGTCATTGTGAAAAATAGTTCTTTTCAGAGTGTTTTAAGAAAACCTAAACCTCTCTGGTTATGTAGCCTAATTATTATTTATTGGTGGGAGATAAATTGCGGATTAAGCACTTTTTCTTTTTTTTTTTTACAGCTGTAATTCTTCTGGCAGAGTCAGGAGACACCTTACAGAAAATGTTGAATGTTGTTCAACTCTGGTGCTCTAAATGGACGCTTGTGTTCAACCAGACTAAAACCCAGATTATGCACTTCAGAAAAAAGGGTACTGCAAGATCCTCACAGAACTTTCTACTGGGTGATATGCCTTNTCAACCAGACTAAAACCCAGATTATGCACTTCAGAAAAAAGGGTACTGCAAGATCCTCACAGAACTTTCTACTGGGTGATATGCCTTTGGAATTTACTGATTATTATAGATTCCTGGGGCCTCATTTATAAAGCTTGCTTACGCACAAAACGGGGCTTGAAAGTGGCGTACGCCACTTCCCACGCAAAGGTTGTGATATATAAAAATAAACTTGGCGGGAGAATGTGCGCACCTGTAAGCAAACTCTGAGTCATGCGTGCGCACATTTTGGAGACACTGGGAAGTGGCGACGCAGAAGGCGAGGTGGAGAAGTGGAGTCAGATTTTTACTGATGTCTTACACAAATTTAATGTCACGCTATATCCACCTTAGATCCACGTTATCATTGAAAGTAAATCCAGCAGCCTTATTTTGCGCTTGGAGCGAGTGATAATTGTTTCATAAAAACATTGTAAAATCCAACTCAAATCCTGAGTTGAAATTCTTTCTAAATACGTATTTAATCCGCACTGCCTCTAACGTCTCATTGTCCACTCTGTGAGCGCAGGAGGGGGAGAGGATGGCGCAACTGCATGGAATATATTTATTTATTTAGCTAAATATTTCCAGTGCATTTATCATGTCTCGAAATACAGCCAGTAAGCACAACCGTTACACTCATTTCATCAGCCCTACTTAGACGTGTTGTTCATGACAAAACCGGCATGAAGAAACGTGTTCGCCTATTACACTTTCATCTTTGAATTGTATTTCAAATTACACATTGTATTTTGGGACAGGGATACCACTGGTTCATGCTGTAATTCAGGCCGGGTGTCTGATCAGACTAATTGCCACAAACATATAAATACTGCGGTGACCCTCGTGCGTAATTGCGCAAGATGGCACTGACACATACTCCTTTTTGCCTCCACCTTTAATAAATGTGATTCTTTATGTCGCACATCAATGTCAAACATCCTCAAATTTAAAAGCAACACATTAACTACATGTTGGTAAAGGAGTAGAAATATTTGGTCTACCTTTAGATCAGACCACTTTTTTTTTCCTCTGTCACTGTCCATGTAGTCCCACAGACACAGCTGACAGCATCAGCAGCGTTGATGTGTTGGCACTGTTTTTTTTGCTTTCTTTTATTAGTGATCCTGCTGCTGTGGCCACCAAATAAAATCTTTCTTCAGTCCTCCACCTCCCATTAAAGGGTCTTGAGCTCAGTCTCGGAGAAATTCCGTTTTTTGGTTCGTTTCTCATTTATATGCAGATGGCATTCATGAGGTGATTTGCATGACCATTTATGGTTGAACTAGGGCGTATAGAGGGCAGAATATGAGGCGGATCTGGGTGCGCACAACTCCAGGAGGTCTGTGATTTATAGAGAACATTGCGTGCAAGTGTGCGTGCGCACGGTTTTATAAATCAGATTATGTTTTGGCGCACGCCATTTTCAGGTTTTGGGCGCACGTCAACTTTTAGTATGAATCCTAAGCACTCTTTTATAAATGAGGTCCTTGGGCTTTATTTTGGATGAATTCATGTCTTATGATGTGGGGATTGGAATACTTGCAGACTCTGGGGGAAGAGCTGTAGGGTCAATAATTAGTAAAATGAAATTTTGTAAAGATATTGGTTACTCCACATTCTCGCAGCTTTATGAAGCTTGTGTATGTCCAGTTCTCACTTATGCAGCTGGAGTATGGGGTAACAAGGATGCTAAAAAAGTAAATCCTATTCAGAACAGGGCCATAAGATGTTTCCTCGAGGTACATACATTTGCCCCCAGTCTTGCAATACAGGGAGACATGGGGTGGGAGCCTATGGAAATTAAACAAAAGGGAGAAATGATACGGCTGTGGAATTGCTCTGTTAATATGTCAGAGAGTAGACTAACAAAAAGGGTTTTCAACTTGGATAAAGCTCACAGTCACCCCTGGACAAAGGAAATCTTGTATTTTTAGGGAGGCTGACCTTGCGTACATTTTTCATAACATGCTTTGTTGTAAATATGTTGAAACAAAAGTTAATTTTCCAATATAAAGAGAAATGGTCAAATCACATATGGCTCAAGCCCAGGCTTAGATCATATGTTCAAATGAAGCAGAGTTTTGGCCCTGAACCCTACGCTACTTCCTTTCTAACCAGAAGCCAGAGCTGTGAGCTCAGCTGAGAACTGTTATCCTACCCCTCACTATTGAAGTGGGGCGGTTCACTGCGGTACCTGAAGACAATAGGATATGTAATGTCTGTGATCTAAAAGAGGTTGAAAATGAATTTCACTTTATGTTTTATTGCTCACAGTATGAGGACTTAAGGGTTCCCTTGTTTGATGAAATGCCAAAACAAAAAGCTGATTTATTTTGGGCGGATGATGGTCAGAAGTTGGAGTGGTTATTTAAGACTGAGGTTTTTAAGACTGCTGATTTCATTTTCAAGGCCTGGAATAGAAGGCAATCCTTGCTCTTTAAGTGAAATATATCAATGGATTAGATTAGGGTTCACTGTCCTAATCATGAGGACTGTTGTGTTCACTCAAGTAAAAAGTATTTAGAAGGTGGGGGAGCTTATAAGCATACGTCAAAATTGAACCCACACGTCCGAGTCCACAGAGGCGAGAAGTCATTTACATGTAGAACCTGTGGAACAGCTTTCAGGCGTTACAGTGACTTGAAAGTCCACATGAGAATCCACACAGGAGAGAGGCCGTATACTTGTAAAACATGTGGGAAGGCTTTCAAACATAGCAGCGTCTTGAACGTCCACATGAGAACCCACACGGGTGAGAAACCGTACCTTTGCAAGACCTTTGGCAAAAGATATTGTGCGTTGTCCTCGTTGACAAGACGTGAGAATCCACACAGGGGAGAAGCCCTACCTTTGCAAGACCTGCAGGAAAAGATTCAGTGACATATCAGTATTGAAAAGGCATTGTAGAATCCACACAGGTGAGAAGCCACATACTTGCACAACATGTGGAAAAGCTTTCGGACTTAAAGGTAACCTGAAAGTCCACACTAGAATCCACACAGGTGAGAAGCTGTACGTTTTCAAGACCTGTGGGAAAGACCCTATAACATCTCCTCACTGACAAGGCATGTAAGAATCCAAACAGATGAGAAGCCATGAAACTTTAAAACATGGGAAAGCTTTCTACCAGAACAGTGTCTTGAAAGCCCACATCATAACTCACAGCGGTGAGAAGCTGTGACTTTCAGGAAATAGTGTTGTCAGTGAATCAAGCCAAATGATTAATACAGTGACCAGTGTCCTGGGAAAGTGAGCAACGAACTGTTTTTGTTTTTTATCTTGTGTGTTTTAAAAATAAAGGTTTGCATGTTGATGATTAAAGAAGAGGCTGAGGCTGAGATGCAGCTGCTGGACAGAGCCACGATCTGTTTGGAGACCAAAAACAAAGCGCATATTTAGATAAAAAAAAATGTCAGTAAGCATCACATAATGTGTGTGTTTTAATCTGGTGTTTTGTTTTTTGTTAATTTACAGCATAAAAACAATATCCAAATAAAGTAAAAATGAATTAATACAGGTGTTCACAGATTAGCCAGGGGTAAGAACAGAACATTAACAGAAATCTTATATGGGATTATGAGATGTTATACAGGGTGCACAGGTTCAGTGTTTTAGTAGATTTCTTATTTTCTGATAATAAAATTGACTTCATATATTGTTTGATCGGAAATTTTTGATTCATGAATGTGAGAGTTTGCAGGTAATGGAAACAAATTGATAATTTAATTTTGATTTGCTTTGGTAGAGAGATGAGTAAAAATGCCAAACAATACATTTTCATAAGGAGGGGAAATTTCAAAATCAGTACACTGGGAAATAAAACCAACAGGCAAGTGGAAACAAGACCAAAGTAGATGGTATAAATCTTCTGGAATCCGTTGACAAAGTGAGCAGTCCACAACAATGGTGTGCACAGACTCTAGCTGTTTTGGAAAGCGTACTTTCGTAGTTTATTAAGACTTCACAGAGGTGGTACAGATGTACAGTTTTGTTGGGTGCCAGCACAGGAGGGGCTGAAAGGGAATTAGTGTGCTGACAAACTAGCAAAGGGGCATTTCAAAAAGAAACAATAATAATACCAATACCAATACCTTCAGTAACAGAGGTTTCCCGTGCCGACTTTAACCTCTCCCAAATTGATCATTTTGTTGATAGCGCCGTAGGCTCGCTGCGAACAATGCTCGACTCTGTAGCTCCTCTTAAAAAGAAGTTAACAAAGCAAAGAAAGTTTGCTCCTTGGTATAACTCTCAAACCCGTAGGTTAAAACAAATATCGCGAAAATTTGAAAGGAATTGGCGATTAACCAAACTGGAAGAATCTCGTTTAATCTGGACAGACAGTCTCAAAACTTATAAGAGGGGCCTCCGCAATGCCAGAGCAAACTATTACTCAGCATTAATAGAAGAAAACAAGAACAACCCCAGGTTTCTTTTCAGCACTGTAGCCAGGCTGACTGAGAGTCAAAGCTCTATTGAGCCTTGTATTCCTTTAGCCCTTAGTAGTAATGATTTTATGAGCTTTTTTAATGACAAAATTCTAACTATTAGAGGCAAAATTCATGACCTCCTGCCCTCAGATGGTAGGCCTACCTATCTAACCTCAAACACAGCTGTAGAATCTGATATATATTTAGACTGCTTCTCCCCAATTTCTCTTCAAGAATTGACCGCAGTGGTTTCTTCATCTAAATCATCAACGTGTCTCTTAGACCCCATCCCAACTAGGCTACTTAAGGAGGTCTTTCCTTTAGTTAACACTCATATATTAGATATGATCAATATATCCCTATTAACAGGCTATGTACCACAGTCTTTTAAGGTAGCTGTAATTAAACCTCTCCTAAAAAAGCCCACCCTGGATCCAGAGGTGTTAGCAAACTATAGACCAATATCTAATCTTCCCTTTATGTCAAAGATCCTTGAGAAAGTAGTCGCAGACCAGCTGTGTGATTTTCTCCATGATAATAATTTTTTTGAGGAATTTCAGTCAGGATTTAGAGTGCATCATAGCACTGAGACAGCTCTAGTTAAAATTACAAATGACCTTCTGATTGCTTCAGACAAAGGACTCGTCTCTGTTCTTGTTTTATTAGATCTTAGTGCGGCATTTGACACAATTGACCATCAAATTCTACTGCAGAGACTGGATCACTTAATTGGCCTAAAAGGTTCAGCACTAAGCTGGTTTAAATCTTATTTATCTGATCGTTTTCAATTTGTTGATGTTCGTAATAATCATCCTTACGTACCAAAGTTTGTTTTGGAGTTCCGCAAGGTTCTGTGCTCGGACCAATCCTATTTACTCTATATATGCTTCCTTTAGGTAACATCATTAGAAATCACTCTATAAATTTCCATTGTTATGCGGATGATACACAGTTGTATTTATCGATGAAGCCAGAAGAAAGTAATCAATTAACTAAACTCCATAACTGCCTTAAAGACATAAAAAATTGGATGAGCACCAATTTCCTGATGTTAAATTCAGACAAAACTGAAGTTATTGTTCTTGGTCCCAAACAACTCAGAGACTCTTTATCTGATGACATAGTTTCTCTAGATGGCATTGCTCTGGCCTCTAGCACTACCGTAAGAAACCTCAGAGTAATATTTGATCAAGATTTGTCTTTTAATTCTCATTTAAAGCAAACCTCACGGACTGCATTTTTTCATCTGCGTAATATTGCGAAAATTAGGCCTATCCTGACCCGAAAAGATGCAGAAAAATTGGTCCACGCTTTTGTTACCTCAAGGCTGGATTACTGTAACTCTCTATTATCAGGTAGCTCTAGTAAGTCCTTAAAAACTCTCCAGCTAATTCAGAATGCAGCAGCACGTGTACTAACAGGAACTAAGAAACGAGATCATATTTCTCCTGTTTTAGCTTCTCTGCACTGGCTCCCTGTAAAATCCAGAATTGAATTTAAAATCCTACTGTTAACTTATAAAGCTCTAAATGGTCAAGCTCCGTCATATCTTAGAGAGCTCATAGTGCCATATTATCCCACCAGAACACTGCGCTCTGAGAACGCAGGGTTACTCGTGGTCCCTAAAGTCTCCAAAAGCAGATCAGGAGCCAGAGCCTTCAGCTATCAGGCTCCTCTCCTGTGGAATCATCTTCCTGTTACGGTCCGGGAGGCAGACACCGTCTCCACATTTAAGACTAGACTTAAGACTTTCCTCTTTGATAAAGCTTATAGTTAGGGCTGGCTCAGGCTTGCCTTGTACCAGCCCCTAGTTAGGCTGACTTAGGCCTAGTCTGCCGGAGGACCCCCTATAATACACCGGGCTCCCTCTCTCTCCCTCTCTCTCTCTCTCTCTCTCTCTCTCATCCTATTACTGCATCTTGCTAACTCGGCCATTCTGCATGTCACTAACTCAGCTTCTTCTGCGGAGCCTTTGTGCTCCACTGTCTCTCAGATTAACTCATACCGCAGCGGTGCCTGGACAGCGTGACGTGTGTGGTTGTGCTGCTGCCGTGGTCCTGCCAGATGCCTCCTGCTGCTGCTGCCATCATTAGTCATTAGTCATACTTCTACTGTTATTATACAGATATGACTATTGTCACACATGTATACTGTCAGATATTAATACATACTTTCAACATATTGTACCACAGTAGCCAGAACTATAACTATAATATTATTACTTTCATTAATGTTGTTGTAAGCTACTGTCATTACCTGCATCTCTCTCTCTCTCTCTCTCTCTCTCTCTCTGTCTCATTGTGTCATATGGATTACTGTTAATTTATTATGCTGATCTGTTCTGTACGACATCTATTGCACGTCTGTCCGTCCTGGAAGAGGGATCCCTCCTCAGTTGCTCTTCCTGAGGTTTCTACCGTTTTTTTTCCCCGTTAAAGGGTTTTTTTGGGGAGTTTTTCCTTATCCGCTGTGAGGGTCTTAAGGACAGAGGGATGTCGTATGCTGTAAAGCCCTGTGAGGCAAATTGTGATTTGTGATATTGGGCTTTATAAATAAAATTGAATTGAATTGAATTGAATTAACAACAATAAACTGTATCTATATAGCATCTTTAATACAAGAAATGCAGCACAACGTCTTTTACAATAAGGACATTATAAGCACAAATTGCTTCACATGAAAATAGACATAATGACCATAAAAGGACACTTAAAAACAGTTTAGAACAAGGACTAAGTGATTCAAAACAATAAATCTTGAAGAAATCGTAAGATGAGATAAATCATAAAGAGTCACAAAATCGTAACACCCTAAAATCATAGAATTGTAAAATCATAAAATCAAGTAAGATACAAAATTTTGGAAGAGTTTCAGCAGCGTGAAGCGTAAAGAGAAAGAGTTTCAGACCTGTTTTAGGAAAGTCAGAGCTAGGTAAAGGCTGAGGTGAACAGATACGTTTTTAGCTTTCTTTTAAAAAATATTCAGCGAGCCAGCTTATCTGATACCTATAGAGTTATTGGTACAATAACAGCACCAGGTCCGCTTGGGAAAGGAGAAGGAAAAGCAGTGATTCAGACGAAAGAAATGGAGATAAGGCAAAAAAGGTGGGAGGAAGACCAGAAAGGAAGGGGATATCACAAAATACAAAAATCAGTCATAACAAAGACATATTATAAAGGAATAGAAGGTGTTAGAACCGTGGGGTAAAGAAAATGTGGAATGTATCTTACTGCATTTCACTTTGTATGAGGTGGAAAGGGAAACATTGATTGATAAAGTCCTCGAGGCAGGGCGGGAGTGGAATTTGATGGGGTTACTGGGAACAGAGGGAGAAGTAGACGAGATAAGAGTCACCAGGAAGGCACTTTTTACTCTCTGAAATGCCACAGGGTTAATGGGAAGAATTAAAGACATAAGGTACATTGATATGACGTTACACACTCATGTACAGTCGTTTGCGATCCGCCAATGGTCCTGTTTTTTTTTTTTTTTTTTTTTTTTAATTTTATCTTTATTAACAGATTCCGGCATTACAAAGTCAACAGATTCAAACGTTCCAGTCAAACAGTAGCATATTTCACCAAGCAAAACTTAATATACAGTCAGTATAAACCATGTTAACAACATTATAACATCAATACATAACATAAAATAAATTAAGATAGAAGGAAAGGAAAGAGTCAGAGATTTCAAAGTTGTTGTTTTTTAAATTAAACAGCTCATTCATAAAAATTAAAAACAGTGGTGTGACATTTGAAAGCCTGCATCTATGGATAAAGTATTTAGCCATAATAATTAAAGTGTTATATAGCATATCCCTTTTTTTGTCCTGCATTAAAACACCAATTTTAATAGTGGTGAAGTCTAAGATGGGTGCTTGAGAGTCCTTCTCAGAAGTCCAGTGTTGAAACAATCCCCAAAAAGTTCTATATTCATTACAAGGATAAATGTCATTTATGATCTTAGAATTAGTCACTTTAGTTTTTGGTGGGACCGGGAGAAACAGGTGTCTAGTTCTAATTAGAAGAAGAAGAAGAAGTAAGAACCCGTTGATGAGCGGAAGGAAAAAAAAGAGCTCACTTTCATTGCCGGAACTTCAACGCTGTGACACATCCAGCGGAAGTAAACAAAACAAGCGCTAACAGCGTTAGCTCAATAGATGTATGGATGTAGCTGGGGGATGATGGTGTAGTTTTCGATAAGAAATAGTTTACTTGTAATTAGAAAACAATGTGTTCAGTTGAGTCTTTGAGAGAGTTTGTCAACGAGCGACTAACTGCTGCTGCTGAAGAAATATTGGGAGTTTTTCAAAGAAGCATCGTCGAGTACGAGGAAGAGATCGATCGTCAGCGCAGACTGTTGGATATCGTTTTGAAGCCTGAAATAAAGTTACACAGGACAGGTGGGTGAAAGCTAATTGAAGTAATTTACTGGCATGTGTGTATATTTGCTGTAGCATGACATTAGTATGCTGTTGGTGTTGTTGTGTGTCCCTCCAGAGCTCCCACAGCAACATGTGTGTAAGGAGGAGGAGGTTGTCCCTGAGCAGCAGCTCTGTATTGAGGAGAGGAAGTCCAGTGTGGACCAAGAGGAGCCAGAGCCTCCACAGATTAAAGAGGAAGAGGAGGAAGTGTGCAGCAGTCAGGAGGGAGAGCAGCTTGTAGTGAAGCAGGAGACTGATGGCTTTATGTTGACTCCTGCTGATGAGGAAAGTGAGCACAGTGAAGATCAGACTCTGGACTTCATTCATGATGACACTCAAAGTGCAGCACAGAAAGAGTCTGAAGTCAATATACCATTTGTAAACTATGTGATACCAAACAGTGACTATCAGCTGCTCTGTCACAACTCTCATGTAGCTGAGAGCCAAGATGAGGAAGAATACCAGCATGGAGACTCAGGATCAACTAGAAACACAGAGCTTCAAGCTAAGAGCTTCAAGAAAAGACATCATGAAAGCAATAATCACAGTAACTCTTCCATGTCAGAGATTCACTGTAAAACTCACACAGCTAAAAAATCTTTCAAATGTGACACTTGCGGGAAAGCTTTAAAGTTTAAGTGCCATTTATATACACACATGAGAATCCACACAGGTGAGAGGCCGTACCCTTGTAAAATATGTGGAAGAGATTTCAGATATAATCGTGACTTGAAAGTACACATGAGGACACACACTGGTGAAAATCCGTTTATATGCAAAACATGTGGGAGAAGTTTCAGAGAGAACAGTTACTTGAAACTCCACATGAGAGTCCACACAGGTGAGAAGCCGTTTGAATGCACAACATGTGGGAAAGCTTTCAGACGAAGAAGTAACTTCAATGTCCACATGAGAACCCACACAGGTGAAAGACCGTACCTTTGCATGACCTGCGGGAAAAGATTTTGCGAGATGTCTTCCTTGACGAGGCATATAAGAATCCACACGGGTGAGAAGCCATTTATTTGTAAAACATGTGGGACAGCTTTTAGACATAGTAGTCACTTGAAGGTCCACATGAGAAGAGCCCACACGTGAAAAGCTGTCAGTGTAATCTGTATTGAAAAGGCATATTAGAATCCACACAGGTGAGAAGCCATTTATTTGCATAAAATGTGGGAAGAGTCCAAAGTGGTGACAAGTCATAACTTTTTAAGATCTGCAGAAAAAGACACAGATGTGTCTCAGTTGTTGAGGCATATAAGATTTTATGCAGCAGTGATCGTCAACTGGGGGCCCTCGGACCACATCTGGCCCACCAGAGCTTTCCACCTGACCTGCAGAATATTAATTAATTCAGAAAATGTAAGGAGGGAAAGAAATATGATACAGTTTTTAGGTTATATAGTATTTTTACTTCTTATATTGAAGACACAAAACAATTTAAATGGAAATAATTTTATCAGGATTGATTTACCAGCCCCAAATTTGTGCGTTTGAGTCAGGAGTAGACTTTACGAATCCATCTCTCAGCTTATTATGAGCGATAGTGATGTGTCAGGTTCGGTAAGCTTACTAGAAAAATATCAAATGTCAAAAAGTGACAAAGCAGCATCCTGATTAAGTCAACCTTAGAAACATTGCATGCAGTAGTTCAGCTTCCACTTTCTTTCCCCCCTCTCTGCCACTCTTTCTGTGTCTCTCCCACATACACAAACATACACACAAACAGATTTAGTCGGACTTTGGATGGAATTATTTATAAATACAAGGAGGCATTGCTCCGTGTCTCTCCTTCCATCAGCTGCTGTGCTTTCACCATTATTTTCAGGGGCAGATTTCGTGTGGTGGGGCCCCAGGCTAACTGCCTTGCTTTCTATTCACCCTTCCTCTAACTGGTAGTATTGATGTTGGCAGGTATAGAGGAAGTACTTAAAACTTTTTCTCTCAGGTGACACTATTAATAGCACGCAGCAAAAGTTTAAAGGGAAATTTCGGTTTATTTCAACCTGTCTCCTATCGTCCTAAATTTGTTTCAAGTGACTAGTGACATAGAAATAATAGTTAGCATGTTAGCCGTTAGCCTAGATACAGCTGGGGTGCATAGTAGCTTCAGACCTGTTAAAACTTAAGTGAACGGGCATACTTCAAGTGCAAAGTTAGTCCACTAAACAAGCTTTTTTTCCACAAAGACCGCCTCATATCGTTAGGATAAATGTCAGAGAACATATAGAAAACGACATGTAAACGTGTTGTCTTACCTTACCGGTGTGCTGCCATTTTTGTTTATCATCTAGCTCTGCTTTCCAAAGTGCGTCTAAGTCCTGCATTCAGGAGAAGTCTTATCAGCACGCTGTAGGCTATTTAAACTTAAAGTCTGTTCAAGACAGGGTTTTTAATTCTTATATAATGCTGGTTTGTTTAGTAAATAATAATGCACCATTATTTATATTTTGTGAATATAACAGTTATAACAATAACAATCTTGCCTCTCATAACATCCTCGATCTGTATCTTTTTAAGTTTGCTCCCCCATTTTAAAACATAACCAGGTGCCTACGTATATGTAATAATTTGAAAGCCTGGCACACAGTGTCTGCTCAGAAAAATTCTGGCCCTTGAACAAATGTAGTTGAAGACCCCTGATGTACTACATGGTGCTTTTAATGAGTCAGCCTAAATAATAGAGTGATGGGTGTCTAAAGGGTTGTGGGCAAAAAATGGTGTTTTCTGATCTCATGTTTTGGTGTGTTTTACTGTTGCAGCTCAACTGCTGGAGGTCAAGTTAAAGTATAATTTGATACTGTTTGATCAGTGGAGCTGCTTCATATTGATCAAACATGTCTGCAGTGGAGGAATCTAACTACATGTACTCGAGTACTGTATGTATGTACAATATTGATTGTCTTCAGATGACAGAGATGAAAGTACATTCTACATCGATATGAAGCGTTGAATACTTTAAATAAAACCAAAAAAAGAGAGTTTTGAGGTCTTATTGATTACTTTGCTTTATGCCACATATTGCTCTACTTCACTACATTTTACAGGCAAATGTATTTTTAAGGCCACAACATTTATATGACGGCTAAAGTTACTTTGCTTATTAAAGATTTTATGTAGAAAACTAAAAGTGAGCTCATTAAATGGACCTGCACTTGTATAGCACCTTTCTAGTCTTCCTACCACTCAAATTGCGCTTTCACACAACCGTACACTGGTGGCCAAGGCTGCTGTGCAAGGCTCCACCTGCTACTCAGTTTGTAACACACTCACACACTGATGAAACAGCCACTGGGGGTTCAGAATCTTCTTCAAGGATGGTACCACATGCTTCCACTGGAGGAGCCGGAGATAGAACCTCTGATCATCTGATTAGTGGACAACCTGCTCTACCGCTGAGTCACAGCCGCCCTCATGATGCCTTGTTAAACTATCCATCAGGTAAAAAATGAAACAGCTCCACCTCGACTAGCTGCCACAAAAGTGCTATTTACACATCAAAGCCTCAGTGACACTGACAGGAGCCATTGTGTTTGAGTACTTTGATGTTTCATACTTAGATTTTTTAAATTGTGTAAATTATCATTTACAACATGTGACATTAAGATAAAGAAAAAATATATCGGCATCATTGAATTTTGATGACAAAGAGGCATGATTCCTCTTTCTTTAGGATTATACAGTAAACATGTCAGCAGGACTTAGGGTAAATGTTGTACATATATATAAATGAATAAATAAAGATAAAACAACAATTTAAAATAACAGAAAAAGTAGACAATAAATTAACTTTTTTTTAAATTCTGTTGCATACTAACCACAGTATATGGGCACCTTTCTTATTTGTAATCTGGACAGCCTCAAAGTATTTTCTAAATTCAATCTCGAAGGGTTAAATGATGATTGAGGCCTGGAGAATTTGACTTTATGGTTTGTGAAATTTCCTGGTAAAATGTATTAGTTGACAGTCTGCTGAACTTTCTGCTTTTTGTTTTCATTATATGGCTTCCAGTTTGTGTGTTAAAATACTCCCCAGTGTTTCCAGAATCCAAATGTGTGCTGACATTTGTAAAATAAATGTTTCTTTCATCTTTGTTTTCACAAAATTTTCACTTAGTGTTGAAAAAAAGGATGGAAATTTGTTGCTTGGATAAATATTATGTCCAATTTCCTGATGAATTTCTTTAATTTAGTTGGGGATTTGTGACTTTCAATTTATTCTGTTTACAACGGGGGAAAAATATATATTCCTGTCAATCCAACGTTGCAGACATAGTGATTTAATATTTGTGGTTATGTATGTATTGTTTTATGGGGAGAGAAATGTGGATAAGGGATAATTCTGCTGCCCTAACAACCTGTTGATGAGCGGAAAGAAAGAAAAAATAGCGGACGTCCACTGCCGGAACTTTAACAGCGTGACACAAATAGCGGAAGTAAACAGTACAAGCGTTAGCTGCGTTAGCTCAATGAGCGTACGGAAATAGCAGGGAGACGATGGTGTATTTATCACGTAGATGAATACTTCATTTATAATTTGACAACAATGTGTTCAGTTGAGTTTTTGAGAGAGTTTGTCAACGAGCGACTAACTGCTGCTGCTGAAGAAATATTGGGAGTTTTTAAAAGAACCATCGTCGAGTACGAGGAAGAGATCGATCGTCAGCGCAGACTGTTGGATATCGTTTGGAAACCCGGAATAGAGTCACACAGGACAGGTGGGTGAAACTTAGATAGTTTATTAACACAGGGCAGAGACTTTTGATTATATACATAATCCTAAATATTTAAATATATAATTTTAGGCCTCAGATTTTGCTCGCATGTCTGCTTTTCTTCTATACCATCACATTAGTATGCTATTCCTTTTGTTGTGTGTCCCTCCAGAGCTCCCACAGCAACATGTGTGTAAGGAGGAGGAGGTTGTCCCTGAGCAGCAGCTCTGTATTGAGGAGAGGAAGTCCAGTGTGGACCAAGAGGAGCCAGAGCCTCCAGAGATTAAAGAGGAAGAGGAGGAAGTGTGCAGCAGTCAGGAGGGAGAGCAGCTTGTAGTGAAGCAGGAGACTGATGGCTTTATGTTGACTCCTGCTGATGAGGAAAGTGAGCACAGTGAAGATCAGACTCTGGACTTCATTCATGATGACACTCTGAGTGCAGATGAGAAAGAGTCTGTAGTCAACATACCAGTTATAAGCTATGTGATACCAAACAGTGAGCACCAGCTGCTCTGTCACAACTCTCATGTAGCTGTGAGCCAAGATCAGAAAGGAGGACATCATGGAGACTCAGGATCAACTTGGAACACAGAGCTTCAACCAAACCAAAGACAACATGAAAGCGAAAGTCTCACTAATAATGTGTGTAACTCTACCATGTCAAATATTCACGGTAAAACTTACACAGGTGAAAAGTCTTTTAAATGTGACACTTGTGGGAAAGCTTTCAAGTACAAGTCCCAGTTATACATCCACCTGAGAATCCACACAGGTGATAAGCCATATTCTTGCAAAACATGTGGGAAAGATTTCCGCTATAGTAGTCACTTGATAGTCCACATGACAACACACACAGGTGAGAAGCCATATTCTTGCAAAATATGTGGAAAAGAATTCCGACACAATAGTCGCTTGAACATCCACATGAGAATCCACACAGGTGAGAAGCCGTACCTTTGCAAGACCTGTGGGAACAGATTCTGTGAGCTGTCAGTACTGAAGAGGCACATGAGAATCCACACAGGTGAGAGGCCATTTACTTGTAAAGTATGTGGGAGAGCTTTCAGACGTAATGGTGACTTGAAAGTTCACATGAGAACCCACACAGGTGAGAGGCCGTACCTTTGCAAGACCTGCGGGAAAAGATTCAGTGAGGTGTCCGCATTGAAAAAGCACATGAGAATCCACACAGGTGAGAAGCCGTATACCTGTGAAATATGTGGGAAAGATTTCAGAATCAGCAGTAACTTGACAGTCCACATAAAAAGAACCCACAGGTGAAAAGCTGTATCACTGCAGCACAGGGGTAAAGTTGGAAAACATCGAAGCAATATTAAGATGAATAGTGACTTGTTGGTTCACATGGAAGGAGCCCCTGGTGACAAACTATGTTCTTGCATAACATGTTTTCTCCTTTCATATGACTGTATCACTTATATTTCTGTAAGCAGCTTTTAAACAATCATAACCTCTTGAATCAAGGAAAGTGTTAATTTGACAGTGAGTGCAATGTAATTGTTATTAAAGTAATCGTGTAAAATCAATGGTTTTGCCAAATGTGTATTTATGAAACACTTAGTTTAAACTGTAACATCGACCTACAGGGGATCTATGCCCATTTTCAAATTTTATACTCATTAATCCTATGCTCTTCTAAGATAATCCAAAACTATCAATATGAACAACCCGCTCCCAAATCCCAAATCTTTAGTGCTTTTAAAGCATCACATGTGGGACAGCTTTTTAGCACGGGTGGCCTTGGGTGTGATTTTTTTCCCCCAGTGGTGCCACGTGTTAAAAAAAATTGCAATTTGGCAGAATTTGAAAATGGACTGTCCTCCTGCAGCTCTCCCCTCTCTGTCCTGAGCCCCTCCAACCATACCAAGCACATGCACTCATTCAGTAACCCAGTGACTTTTACTGATTTATTTCATCTTATTTTTTGTACAGTTGCCCGCAGGTCATTCTTTAAGCGCCTCTTTGCCCTGCTCTCTGTTCATCAGACCACAAAGGAAACAAGAAGTAGCGAGCTAGCCACCTCACAGCCCCTCCGCCTCGCTCCCAGCTGCTGTAAACTGCTTCCTTGTGAGGAGAGCAGGCAGCAATTCAGGAGACGGACCCTCGGTCAGCAGCTTTAGCGGCTTGAATTCAGCAAGCACAACCCCCCCAGCACTGGTGACCAGTGGTAGTGCTAGTTTTCACCTGTGTAACAGCAGCAACAGAAAGTTTACAGCTCTGGAGAGGAATCAGGGGTGTCAGCCCCCCTGCAGCTGGGGTTTGTGCTGTCTGGATTCTGGTGGCTGCAGCTTCTGACAGGCAGTCCGTCTACAGATCTGCTGCCAGCTCATCTCGTGGCAAGGTGGTCCGTAGTGGTGGGGAGTGAGTTGGAGGACACGCTGTGATTCAAGGCTCTCACCTGCTACATAAAGGTGAACTTGAAGCTGCAGCTGTGAGCCTTTAGCTCCGGTTAGCAGAAGGTTAAACTATAAGCAACGTTTTCTCTCCATCTCTGAAACCTTTCGCTGATATTGATGTATTTTAATGTGAATATTGTCAAACTTTCAGATTCTTTTTGTTCAGTGCGTCAACCTTTTCTGGGTTGCTTTACAGTTTAGGCAGTTGTTGCCAATCCTGGAATAGAAACTGTCCGCAGGATTCTCCACCATTGAATCAGGCTTTTATGGAGGGGAAGTTCATGCACATCTGCGTTTGTAGGACAGCCAATAGGAACAGCCTTCTCTCTGAAAGGAACTGTGATTGGTCAAAGTGTCCTGTCACAAGCTAGATTTTCTGAAGCCTGGAAACAGAGCCAAGAGGAGATGCAGGAGTCTTGTTTTATCTCCTTTCACTTGAATTGCAATATGCTCAAAGATTGTTAACTGTAATGGACCTTCGCACAAAACAAAAACACTGAAAAGCTGAAAATCCCTTGTGTGGGGTTTTAAGATTAAGGACTTGGTTTATACTTATGCACAAACCGCTCTGCAGCACCTGGAGCCATATTAATAAAACTTTGTGTATGCCTGGTCTGAAGAATGCATGAGGTGCACACAGTCTCATCACACACTGGTCATTTTTAAATACCAGTTTATGTGTGGGAAAAGGCGCATGCTTGGTTTTTGGCCCTGGGACTTGTTTCATTGGCTGAAAATGAGTTGCAGCCTTACAAAAATCACCAGTGCCACTGTAACACAAATTAAGGACAGTAATGAATGGTTCTTATACATTTTTGTCTTTAAGTATTTGATCGGTCAGCGTAGTTTCTT